GATAGTCCATGGAACCTTGTTCTATTTACTTACAATCATATGCACTTGCTTGCATTAGATTTATTCGGCCATTGCCATTAACCACGTTTTCTTGACATTAATAGGAATGTCATCCAGATTCAATCTCACAAGTACTATCAAATCAGAAGTACTTTCGTACTCATCCTCATTGCCATATCACAATCATATCAGGACTGATTCCATAACCCAACACATTAAGCTTAATAGTTCTTACTTCCCAGCAATTTCTTGGTTGTCGGACACACACACATTGGTAAGGACACTTGCTTCCCAAAGTGTTGTCTCGATTTACCTCAATTCCTAGCAAGCTTAACTCACAACTTTAATATAAGTACACATAACCTTTATCTGATCGCAGTTACTGCTAGACTCGACCCCGAATACTTGATCAAAATCCATCTCAGACTTAATCAAGGTTTTTCGATCTTAGCCAATAACCGACTTTGATCATCCTTTTCTCCATATATGCACAACCATTCTACTCTCCGGGTAGCCTCTTGGTTCATCGTCATGATTTAGCAAACTTTTCAAGTTTATAAATACATCAACTCAACTTACCTTAGCTCCCATCCAACTACAAATGCTTGCATATTCTAATCATCCCTTAGCATAGACCATATCTGAATGCTAAGAAAGATTTCATCTTTCCAACTTAGTACTTAGAAATTCACACTAACGGTCAATCCATAGACCTTACTTACATTTTCAAGATCACCCACGATCCTTACAACCATTCCTCGAATCTCTTTTATCTTTAAAGTCGTTCATGGATCCTTCTAGACCCCTTATGAACATTTTCGGATCATTCCCGATCTTTACTGACGTAACCAGATCATTTTTGACCCATACAGAAACTTCCCGTCTGGATCACTTTCTTTGATCCCTTACCACTCTCTGAATCAATTTGATTCCTTATAGATTATATCGGATCCTCATGATCCTCATTCGGTTATTGCCTTAGCAAAATTTAACCCAGTGTTTCTCAGAATAGTCATGCCTTGGCACATCCAGTGATTCCTACACTCAAATACACGTCTTGGCAAACTCACTAGTCCCTTGACGCTTGCACATACACTCCTTGGATAACCAACTTGTTCCCAAGGATGTTATAACAGATACGCGATGGCTACTAACTCACATCGTACCACCAACATGATCGCAGACACGCAATGGCAAACCCTCGCAGTTTCCACCAACGCGAACACAAACACGCGATGGCAAACCCTCACGATTTCCACCGACAAAGTCACAGTTATGCGATGGCAACCCTCACGGTTTCCATCAAAACAGTTATAGTTACGCGATGGCAAACCCTCATGTTTTCCACTGACTCGGTCACAGTTACGCAATGGTAAACCTTCACGGTTCCCATCAACGCGGTCATAGTTACGCAATGGCTAACCCTCACGGTCTCCATCGACATATCACAGTCACACGATGGCAAACCCTCGCGGTCTCCATCGACGTATCACAGTCACGGGATGGCAAACCCTCACTAGTGCCCACCGACGTCATCACAGTCACGTGATAGAAAACCCTCACTGGTTCCCACTGACGTCATCACAGTCACGCGATGGCAAACCCTCACTGGTTCCCACCGACGTCATCACAATCACGCGATGGTAAACCCTCACTGGTTCCCACCGAAGTCATCACAGTCACACGATGGCAAACTTTTTTCACTGGTTCCCACCGACGTCATCACAGTCACGCGATGGCAAACCCTTACTGGTTCTCACTGACGCAATCACGGGCACGTGATGGCAAACCCTTACTGGTTTCCACCGATATGATCATGGATAGTGTCTTGGCAAATCCACCTGATTCCCAAGAACACCTAACAGATACGCCTTGGCGAACATACTTGGTTCCCAAGGGCGCGTTCACAGATTTCTAGCATGGTTACCCAAAGTTCTTGAGCCGTCTTCTGGCAACTAGGCAAGCATCGTCACTCGTAAGCATGTTGTCTGATCTAGACTCCCGGATAGAATGGATCAACCATCAAGACAATTATCACAGATTATGCCTTGGCAAACTTACCCGCATCCCAAGGTCATACCATGCCATTCACGCCTTGACAAACTCACTTAGTTCTCAAGGACGTGTTAACTGTATCCTTTGGCAACTTACTTGGTTCCAAAGACGTCATCATTGCTTTTACCGAAACATATTGCGCATTGCGGTTATAACATTGGCAAGTTCTATTGGCCCTTCAATTTTGTCTCAGGAAAACTCAACCAGCTTCCGAGATCCACTTATCAGTTATCCCTTAGCGAACACACATGGTTCCTAAGGATGCCCTCACATATGGCCTCAAACTTCCAAAGTGCACCAACAATCCCGCTTAGACTCATCTCTTAACAATTTCCGGTTAGACTTCTCTTAGTCATCACTCCGGCTATCATTATCTTAGTCATATAGTCGTATTCTAACATTCAATTCAAATAGACTATAATGCAAGTCATGAACAGAAACTTGTCACGCGTAATTATCCAAAGTTACTGAGGAATCATCCGCAAACAAGCCTTAGCGAGCATCATTGCCCCACTAAGCATGCCAAGTCTAGATTCTCAAGTAAAATGAACCAATCACCGTGACCAAGTCAAACCGACACCGGAACTATGACAAGCAACTATAAGCTAAGTGAAACAATGTAAGAAACAACTTTTGACTTATCCGCAGTCACGTATTCCCTTAGACTACAACCCATCATCCATAGCAACTAGTACCTCCGAGTAGTTTCTTGATCCTTGAATAACTCTTTGGCGAGAATAATTGACTCCCAATCTCTTGTTCCAATAGATCTCAACTCTCAAACCGCACCAAAACCATGATGATCGATTTTAGTCATCCCGACTACTCCCTTAGTCCTATTTCCGTTTCCATAATCTAAGATCACCATCAAATATAACGGTCAAATCCTTCTTGTGAAGTCTCCCCCACTTCACTCTTTCGGCAACTTTAATGCCTTAAACGATTCCACTAAGGAAACTCTATTTCCCTTGAAGACCAACTTCTTTCCTTTATCCACCGCTCACTATCCTTTTCGTGAGAACTG